GTTATGCCGGGCGGCTGGAAGAAACGCACCCAAAGCGTCCTCCCGAATCGCTTTCCTTCGTTTAAGGGCGACGGCAGGAAGCGGCAGCGCCAGTTTCAGGGGTGCAGCTTAGGCGTGAGGGTTTTCACTTGCTCGGTACACGATTCAAAATCGTCATCGCACTTAAAACAAAGTTCAACAACAAAGTCACGGTGAGGAATTTTTCCTGCTTAAACTCAGAATATTCACTACAAGCACCGACATGCCTCGGCGACTGCCAACGATGCTGATTTTGTCTGCTTTTCTCAGTGAAACTTATTTAAGGTTTTCATCAAGACAGATTGCAAACGAGGCAGTGTGCCTGACATGGACAATGTCGATAAGGGCTGGGAATACAGGGAGTAATTATTCCACTAGCAAAAGCAGAGTGACTTCATTCCAATGGAATAAACCCTGAACTGTTACTTCCAAAGGCAATTTCTCATCAAAAGCTAATTGCAAAACCATGACATATTTATTTCAAGTTGCCTCCCGGCGCCTCAGCAGGCAGCGCAGCACTGCTACGTGCCCTGAAGCACAGGCCCTGCTCCTGCCTGGAATGTGGAAGGCTCTTCGGTAAGGAGTGGAAACCATCACATCAATAATGTGACCCCAGTGGGAAACGCAGCACGGGCTTCTCAAGTGAACATTTCACCTCAAAAGCTGTGGAAACATCTTGGAATGAAAATAAAGTTTGTTCTGGACTACAATATCCACAGATAACATCTCTGTTCCCAACAAACAGGCATGCGCTACGACAGCTGGACTGCTCGAGGTCTCCATACACAGCCCTTCCCTTCAGCCTGACACTTCGCCACTGAAGCAGGGTACCTGCAGCACTCACAGCCACAGCTACCTCAAAATCTCTACTCTAAGCCACAAATCCAGGACAGCTAAAGCCAATTAGTTAGAGAATGAGATATTGTAATGAAATCTAGCAACTTCTTTTCAAGTGTAAGAACAACACAGAAATGTGAGGTTTTCCTCTTAACTGATGACACCTGTTTTTGAAGCCGCGTGCTCAACATGCTCCTTACTGCACAGCCTAAATTTTTTTGAAGAACATGCTATTTGCTTATAAGGAGAGAGCAGCACTAAGAGACACAAGCTTAAATCAAAGAAACCAGCCAGCACAGGACATTACAGCACCCTCTTACTGGAAGGGGTAATGCAACACGTTACATAGGATTGGCATTTTTCTCAGACGAAAACCAAGGCATGAACAAGCAGTCCAGTCCTTTTCTCCAGCTAAGCAGAAGCCTTCTTCATTTTCTGCGCAGCAAACCATTTGTCGCTGTTGTCTGCCGCCATGGCCTGCACAAAGAAAAGTGTTAACATGTTCAGAACAGCAGCTGAGTTGCCAGATGCCTGTCTGCTCACGCTCACCAGCCTGGCCCATAAACCCAGACTGATCACAAAGACACGTTCTAGTACGGAAGAAAGCTATTCTGATGGATAAATTTTTTTTTTTACATACTAGTGAGGAAAACAGACACTGAAAACCAATGTTCTTTGCTGCAGCAAACAGATGATCTAGTAATACTAAAGCAAAACAGGACAGTTTAAACACAGCCTTCCCACAGAGCTCATGCTCCATACCAGAGCCCCCCTGCCTCAGGAGGATTTCTGGCTGCGCTGACATTACCACAGCTCACAAACTGTTTTCTGCAGTAACTTACACCAAAGCGTTGTTGAGGTGTCCAGTAAGACACACCACTGCCTGGCTGCCCCAAGAGTGAGGCTGGAAAATTCTAGCCAGGACAATAAGTGAATTTTAAAAAACAAATTGTTTTTTCTTAGCAATAAAGTAGCCTGAGCTAAGAGACTGTACAACTTGCTTCTCAGAAAAACTCCACACGGAACAAAAATTAGATTCTATGAGTGTCTATAATCAGGAAGAAAACGAGTGCGCAAGACAGCATTACTTACATCGTTTAACAGTTTGTCACCATTAGGATCCACCTTGGACAGATCTCTGAATGCTTCATCTCCCACAAAACAGATTTCATGGCCATCCTAAATCAAGTTTAAGAGCAGGTAAGTTAGATAAATGGCAGAGAGAAATTTAAATTGAATTTAATAACTATTTCCAATATTACTCACAGGATCAGCCAAAATAATCACTTGTACTGTGGCTTTGCCAGGTGTGTCCAAGCTAACCAGAGGTGTTAAGATTTTCTGATTCTCCTTTTTCATCAGTGCTTCAATGTTTGGCAACTGAAACAGAAAACAAACAAAAATTAACCCTAGTCAGATGAAGATCAGATGCATTCAGGTTGTCCTCATTTACAGTTCCCCATTACACACTACTAGATTGCATTCCCACTGCGAGAAATATAAACAAAGTATCTGCTCAGTATTATTTTTTTCATATCTGAAATATTTTGCTAATACTAGAAATTAGTATTAGTAATCTCCCACTAGTCAGCTCTGGGTAATGAAAGCGGTAAGGGAAATGCAATCGTTACCTCTTCCTTTGCACAGGAGAATGCAATCCGCCCAAACGCTGTCCCGTGATCCACCGCTCCTCCAACAGTCTTCAACTCCAACTTACACTGAAAGAGGAAAAAAGAAAGCCTGACTTGCAATGATGCTGTTCTCAGTGCCACATTTACTCCAACTTTTCACCAATGCAGATGATTTCAAAATCATCCATACATATGTTTCCCAATAAGTCAGAATTACCAGAGCAAACCACAGCTTTTTTAAAAAAAATGCCGTTAAGTGTATGCAAGCTTTCATTAAAATGCACAGAATTAAGTGCACAGTTGCTTTAATTAAGAGCTTTTTTCCCCCCATTTAAGAGTTTGTTCTCATGAAATGAGAGGTTTCTATGAGACACAACTCTTAAAGATCAGAACTGGGAAGTTTTCTATGGACTAACCTGGTTATCCGCATAGCCTAGCAAAGCCCTTTGTTTTTCCTCATCCTTCTCGTATATTTTCATCCCAAGCAAATCAGACCAGTAGTTAACAGACTTCTGCAGATCGGAGACACCCAAGGTTACCTTTAGCACAGGATCTTGAAGATTGCAATAATTTGAAATTAGTTATAAATATATTGTAGTTTTAAATGCACAGTTTTACATTCTTGAGAAGTAAGGAAGAAATAACAAAAACCATGCTCTTTCATCAAATGCCATCCAGACAAATGCAAAGCCCATTCTAACGTTCCACTTGTAAGTCTCTCTTGAACACCAGTAAGAGCAAGTGTGTATGCTTCACCTTGCTTGAGCTGTTCCTTGTCTTCCAAGTAGAACTTGTATCCCCCTGGGGCTTCAGCTTCAAAAATGCCAGTTGTGACTTCTTTGAGGGGCCACCCCATCTTCTTGGCATTGCTCACAGCCTGGCTGGACACAAGTGTTATGCCCTAGTGACAACAGAACAGCACACACAACTCATAGGGTGGATGCTGCCCAAGTCCTACCTTTCAACAGTCTGCCTCTATAAATGACCAGAAACAAAACAGATTACTTTTTATAACAGATGGACCATATGATCTCCTGAGAGCTGGATATCTTGCTCCTATAAAATAAGCTTAACCTTACTGCGCATCCCACATATATTTAGAATGCATTAATCTACCCTTCTATCACATCAAAGGCAAATGAAAAGTAAAAGGAATTTAAAACTCTGATTCAATGCATTGTCCAGAAGCAGAAAACCCGAGTTCCTGACTGTTCTACCAGGTTAGGTAGACATCTGTGGCTCCAAGCAGCTGTTCCCTGACACCTGCAAACTGGGGGAAGGATATGAGCTCAGGGGAAACAACCAGCAAACACGTTACATGTATTCATAGAAGAAACATGAAAACTTCATTGGCTGTCAGCTGGTAAATAACAAAGAAATAAGTAATAATAAATGAAAGAGTCTTTTCCTACAGCAAGATCCTTCTTAGGTGATCATTCCATGTTAGGTCTGCCAGCAAATACCAGCTGCCCTACACAGAGAGCAACTAAGCTGTAAGGTGCTCAAGGAAGTGTTTCCTGGATCCTAAGTGAGCACAACACTGCGATAGTTTCTGCTGTTCCAACTTGGAAACAACTAGAGAAACAAGACTAAAAAGTTTTTAGGGAATTAAACAGCACAAAAAAGCAACCCATATGCTGAACAGACTCCTAATCATAAAAATAAAAAAGCTTATCTTAAGAAAGATTTTGCTGCTAAGTGTGGTACTTACTTACCAGAAAGTCATTGCCCAGGCGATACTCTCCAATGCCGTAGTTGTAAGTCAATTCTGCAACAAAGTGATTGTCTTCTGGCCCATAGCCCACCATTGTTTTGCTCCATTTTCCATCATAAGGGCTGGAACATCCGTATTTAATTGTCATGAGTATTAGAAATAAACATCAAGAACTGCAAGTACTAGTTTTTCAAGGGACAATTGCGTTTCTAGAACAAGTGGCACAAATAATCCAGTAACCTCCCACCAAGCAGCAGCCAATACCTGTTAAAAATTCTCACTGCAGCTCAGCACACACAGGGGACGGGCATTTCCCCGGTCAATAGTTTTGACCGTGGGCTGCCATCCACAACCACGCAACAAAAACCAATTCTACCTCCTTCTTACCAGCTCACATTTTAAAAGCATAAACTGCTCATTAGCTGGAATTATACGAGCATTTCCTTATTGCAAAAGAGGAAAAGTAAGTGGTTGGGAACCGGATGGTAAAATTTCTTTCATTCATTAAGACAGACAAAAGCCTTTGGGGCTACCAGGAGGGATTTTTAACTCAAGACTGCTAGTGCCTGTAAAAAATGTATTCATAGAAGAAACATGAAAACTTCACTGGCTGTCAGCTAGTAAATAACACAGAAATAAGGAATAATAAATGAAAGAGTCTTTTCCTACAGCAAGATTCTTCTTAGCTAATCATTCCATGTTAGGTCTGCCAGCAAATACCATTTAACTCAAGACTGCCTGTAAAAAAAATAACATCACTGAGTGTAATTCCAGGGAAGTTTGGAAATAATTTGATAAGGTATCAGTCTATAGGTATAATGCTGCAATACTTGTGTTTCAACGTCAACATCATGCCTACAGAAAAAGGGGAACGGTGCATTCCAAGGGAAGCACTTAAGCCCAACACAAACCGGCCTCTCTTTTACTTATCGAATCACGACAGACGGCAGGCCGCGACCGGCAGAGGCGGTTTACGGGAGGCCGGGGAGGGGGCGCGGGGCACTCACCCGTTGCAGCTGGCCTTGCAGCCCTCCTCGAACTCCTCGTGCCTCAGCACCTTAC